CTGGTGTTTAAGTTAACACTTTCATCTCTTTAACAAGTTGCATTACGCACATTGATTCAAAGATAAGCTATCTTTACTACTCTCAGCCCAGGGGTCGAGTCCACGCTCTGTCGGATAGCATCACTTTCCCATCATCCGGTCACTCTTGTGTCCACACTTCCTGTCTCACAGCTGGCCTGCCAAGTCTCCCATGACCCTTTGCTGCGGTGCTGCTGTTTTGTTTTGAGAGAATCCAGGACAGCCGGGATGAGCTTCAGTCTCATGAGCTTTCACTGATGCACTTCAGGGTGGAAAAAAAAAAAAAAAAGAAAAGAAAAAAGCAAACCCAAGCTTGTGTTTATTGGTCCATTGCTGTCCTCTGCCTGTCGCTTTGTGAAACAGGCTGGGTCCCTGTGGCTAAAATGCAACTTTTGGTGCGTGCTGGAGGAAGAGCTGCAGCGCCAGAGGGGGCTGAGTTAGCAGTGAACACATAGAGCACATTCCTGAAGGCAGCAGAGCTCTGTGATTTTAGCGGGCTGTCACAGGGATTAGGTTACCCTGTCTGCTTCTGTGAGCTCATGCCGTTGCCGTCTCGGTGCCACAGCAATCCTCCTGCGCAGCAGCAAACGGTTTGCTCCCAGTGCGAGTAAAACTGGGATACATATTCATTCTCCTCTACCTGGCTACTAAACTTTGACTATCTGATGTAAATTGACTTTTCCTAAAGTCGTCTAAAGTCAGCTTGACATTACTTCTCTGTGTACCAACAGGATCGTGGCAGAAACCCACCACTAGGTGTGCTCTTTGACTGGCTCTCTTGTCGGGGGTTTCTTTCTCCTCCGTCTGCCGAGACACACAGCAGAGGTTTTCGCAGCAGCTGTAGCGTACAGGATGTGGTGAATTTATGTCACTGGTGTTTCACCATGAGAAGAGAATTCACAAAGTTGCACCCTGCATCTGCTTTTTCACCACTGATGAGTATTTGTGGTTTTTAATGTCAAATAAACTTTCTAGATTTCATTGTAAAGACTTGTTTGTGATAACATCTTCACAAAATTGTATCTACAGGCTGGTCCATGTGGCTACAATTACATACAGGGATCAGTATTTATTTAATACTAATAAATACTTTGTGTTTATTAGTATTCATATAATACTAATAAATACAAAGTATTAATACTTTGTATTGTGTTTATACAAATACTAATAAATACAAAGTATTTATTTGTATTATAAATAGAAAACATAATACTTTGTATTGCAAATACAAAGTATTACAATACTTTTATTAGTATTATATGAATGTGAGAGAAGTTATTTGTGCTTGAAGTGTGAACATGAGAGGATCACTTGTTGAATTGACATTAGTCCTTGGTTCGGCTTATTCCCCAGATAAGACATGGTTTGTTTCCTCATAGTTTACAAAACTGTGTCCATTTGCATTGTAGAGACAGGCTCAATTGTTCTGTAATGATGTTCTCCGTCATTCACTGACTGGACATTTAACCCCTTATTGTCAAAATATAGGAAGTGGTTACCCATACATTCTATTCTGTTCTACATGTGTAAAGGGGAAAAAAAAAAAAAAAAAATATTTTGTTACATTTGTTTTTGTTTCTAGAACAGTTCATGAATATAAAGTCTTAAATTGGGCTCATCCCATGCCCAGTTTAAAGCCCTGCATAATGATTTAAGTTAAAACAGATCTGCTCTGAACTTTAATTTTCTCCTGTCAGACGACCTGAGATCACGCTTGGTTACATCTTATCTCAGAGAACTGTTGTTTAGTTTTAGTGGTTAGCACCAAGAAGACAAATGGCTTGCTGAAGTTGTTGCTTACATTTCTGCTCCTGGTTTAATTTGAATACAAGTGCAAAAAAAGGTCAGATATTTTATTTTTTGACCCAGTTTATTTTTTTCCCCTCTTACTTTAACACATCATCAAATAGTTCAGTTCCAAAGTTGTTTGTTAATCCAACATGAAATTTTAATGTTGTAACTCACACTATCTGGGTGTTTTCAAAGAGTTGCAGATGCTATTGGCTGTGAGCAGGAATGATCTCCATTAGCTGTCTGTATTACAGCGGTACTGAAGAAACCTCTGAAGAAGATACACTGCAGATCTTTTGCAATAGAATCATTACCACATTTTAGAATCAAATTATCCTCTAATGAAAAAAAAAAATAAAATAAAACTCATTTTGAGGGACAGAATTGATAATGATGGCTAACAAAAGTTGCTAAAGAGTAAGCTAACTCCTTCACTTGCTGGATAGGTCAGAGCAATATAGAGAGGTCATTTTACCTGCACGTTTTTGGCTAGTTGGAGGAACCTGGATAACTCACGCATGCACAGAGACAAAACTCTGCACAGAAAGTCTTTCTTCAAGGTAACAGCTCTGTTTACAGAGCAAATCTGGGAGTATTACAGGCTGATTTTACCTTGAAAGTTGGTCAGTTTTTCTGCCACAGTATCCGGCCTGCAGTCATCTGCTTAGCAAACTGGCCACTCAGCCTAACAAATGTTGCTTGAAACAATGTTAAAATAATTTGAGTTGTGGGAGAAGTTCCTTTAGTTTCCATATCATGAATGATTCTGTTTTTGAAGACTTGATTTGTGTAGTGTTGTTAGTGAGACGGAAAAAGTATTAGCAACTTCTATCAGCCAGTAGGCCAGCAGTGTGCAGCAACAGCTGGGAGAAAGACTGCGGTGGTTTCCTAATACTCTATAGAGCTGGTGAAAAATCCTGTCACTCCAACAGTTTCTCTGGCATCTCATCAGAGTCATCTGAGTGAAACTCTTACTGGTTAAGGAATGATAACTTGGCATACCTTTATACCAGGAGTTATCCCAAGTTGACGGACCAAAGTTAAAACTCAAAGGATAAAACAGAGCAACTTTGATGTCACACATTCAGTCACTGCTATCTGCTAACATCTTGCTGTCTCTTAAAGTAGCAGCCTAAATGCATGGCAGACATGTCTTGACATGCTGTGACGTGCTGGTGAAAATGGATTCCTTTGAAGTACTTCTTCAAACTTTTATGCTTTCCTTTACTTTGTCAAAACACCTTACTGACAGAAATACATAAAAACTTACACACTGATGAGTTTTGTCATTTACATGTGCTGGTAGTGCCTAGGTTTCACTCATTCAGTGATGAGAAAAAATTTTTTTCTGCTGAAAATTGGCCGACTGATCACAAACCAATTTCGTGGCACATCTCACAGAGAAAGTCTTTAGTTAAATCTAAAGAACAAAGGGCATTAAGCACCAATTCAGAATTACCACACTCTGAATGCGACGATACGTATGCTGCTGGTTGGGATCAGTGTAAATGAATATCCGTAGTGCCACCATATGAGCAGTTTGACCTGTCTGACCTGGTGTTTAGTGCTTCTGTGTGGCGACTGGTCTCTGCTCAGTCTACAGCTGTGCGATTATCTCAGAGCATCTGTCACCCACCATTTCTGATCCTCCCTCATATCTACTCTAAAAGTCACCGAAGAATTAACGTGGACTTTTACACTTGGCCTTTTAGGTGGATGCTAAAAGAATAGATTCTAGATTCGACCTGAAGTGCGAGATAGGCAAGAAACGGAGTACCGATGGTTCTAGCATTACATGGTGTTAAAAAACAAAAGCATGTCATGGAGAAATTAAAGTAACGGAAGGTTATTGTGAAGGCAGACGGAGCGCGTGCATGCAGCTCCTTCATCCAGCCCAGGGAGTGAAGAGATTGTTGCCTTTTGTCTGAGTGAACGAGACACTCGAGGAGAGTAAATCAGCTCTTTGTTTTTGTGTGCCGCTCCCTTGCATTTCTCGCAGTGTTCACTAATGTAATTAATGGAAAAGAATCAGGCAATAACATGCCATAAGATTTAACCACAGTGTACACCCAATTGCTCTTTGGTACATTAAGTAACCCACCTCCCCCTGATTGTTTACTATTTATTTTCTGTCGGTATACGAGCTGATTTAAACCCAATCGACATCTTATCCATGCCTTGGTTAACCATGCTGAAAGTCTGCTTCGCTCCCTCCACTCTTGTTTGCCCAAGATCATGTTGTACGCCCATCTCAAGGCCAGCTGTGGCTGAAACCTAGACAGCACTGCTGCTTCAAATAAATTTAAGAGCCTCTCTCATTCAGTAAAGTCAGTGTCTGTTCCCTGTAGTCAGTCGGGGTGGGGGAGAGGTGAAACTTCATCCACTCCCATGACATCAGAGCAGCCACTTCAGTCAGGGCCTTGCTCCCCACCATAGCTGACCCAAGGATCTGCAATGTTAAACTAAGCGTAGCTTATCTCTGCTTGTGGCTGTTCGGGTCATAAGACTGGTTGTTTTGAATGTGCGCATTGTTCAACGTGAACAAACTTTCACAGTGGTTCTCAGTCCTCCAAAATCATAAATTTAGATGTGTTGAGGGAAGCTAAGGAGCACTGTGGATAACAGAGCCCTGTGTATTTAATAACTTAGCTCACACTGGCATTGCGTTTTGCATATGTGGACCCATCTAGGCCAGATCTAAATTTAAAACAATTTTCTTCATCGTCGCGGCTCAGAAAGAGATTCCAGTTGCACCATTACAGTAATCTTTACCATCCTGTTGGTGTAAGTTGACGGCAGGCAAAGAAAGGCAATTTTTTTTTGTGGTGTGTCAGCTCGTCAAAGGAAATCGTCCCCTGTGCAATTCTGATGACTCTCTGACAGCTCTTGGCTTTAAAGACTGAGTATCATAGCAATTTGTCTGTTATTTCAATAATACAATTGGTGGAGGGAAATTCTGCTCGACAAGACTAAACTGTGGAAATGGGTGCTGGAATTTCTGCCCGGTTGTTGTGGTATATTTGGATAACCCTGGTTCACACCTTCTTGGCATAGGTTTGCTGCAAAGGGTGCTATTATGTCATCTGAAGCCTGCTTTTATAAGAGTGTAGCACATAATTATGTATTTCAAACAAAAGAGTTTGAGGAGTTAATTTGTAACTTCCTTGTATCGTTTCTTTTTCTTGTTCTAGGTCTGCAGAAGTATCAGAACGGCTTGTTCTCAGCTTTGATGCAGAACAGGTATGGCTGTCCAGCGTCGGTCTCCAAACGTACTCCTTTTCATTTGTCGTAACACTTATCACCTATGGATATTTTGATCGAGATTGAAAATCTCGGACACAGATCAGAGAAGTTTAACCACCGTATCCTAAACGGTTTGGAAAAGTCTGGAATTTGATTTCAGTATTTTCCAGGTGTGCTGAAGTGTGAAACCGCAAAAGCTTTTCCAGACTCTTTTTCCTGTCATTCTTGTCTAAATATTGCCTTTTTTTCCTCTTTTTGTTCATCTTTTCTCCATTTTGTCCTCCTTTCCTCTCTCCCTGTCTTAGTTCCTTCCTTGTTTCCTACCTCTTTAGTTCCTTGTGTCCTTTTTCTCCTTTTCTTCATTCTTAATGTCCTATTTCTTCCTTCATTGGTCCTTCTTTTTATCTTCTTTCTTATTCCTCCCTTTCCTCCCGTTCTTTCCTATCTTCTGTCACTCTGACTCCTTTTTTTTCTTCTTTGTTACCAAGTTTCCTTTCCTTCCATTTTTTCTTGACTGCAACAGACTGCAACAGTCTGTAATATATGTATGAAAAACACATAGGAATTTGTTTTAGGTCAATTCTCTGAAGTCAGTGCCATGCAAACAAGTTAAACACTAGATCTCAGTGTCATGTCATCATGATGATGATGAGGATTGTCAACCACTTATTTACCAATTATGATCAGTATCCTGCCGTCTCCTTCGTTTTTCTTAAAGTTTAGAGCAGCAGAGCTGTTGCCCTGTCTGTAGTTTTCCATTAAGTTTGCTTCCTCAGCTCCAACAGAGGGTTGACTTGGTTAAGAAAGTCATCTATAGTGTTAATAATGTTTAGGTTTTAAGGTGCGTAGCTTCCTTTCCAAAGAAATATTTGCTGCAGATGTTTTAATAGTTAGTGCAAGCCTAATGTTAGCATATTTACTCTGTTTTCTGCTGTATTAGCTTGGTTCCTAAAACATTACATTGCAGTTTCAGTTTGTCATTTCCATACAAAACTTCAGAAAAAAATATATATATTTTTCTGCCCTAGAAATGTAATACTGTACTTTGAATGTCTTCATTTTTAGTGACTGGAGTTTCAGCTGCTCTCAGCGTGGCTCTCTGAGATCAGCTGAGGATATCAGAACACAGCAGAACAGATCACATGATAGACTGGAAGCTGCAGTGTTTCAGCATTCAGATCATTAAGGGTACAAACAGATTGATTGGGGAAATCCAGATCTGTCTGATCAGCCACATTATGTTCACTGTATAAAAAGCAGTTTTGGCAGCCAATCTCATAACATACTGATTTTTTAACATTTTTGTTTAAGTGGCCACCCAAAATGCAACTTCACAGTAGAGTTACAATGACATAGCGATAAGATGGAAGAATGTTGTGGTAATGACATGACTTGCCAAAAGTAATAATAAAATATCAGTTAGTGACATTATGCTTTCAGTTCTTTGGAAACATGGATAATCTTAATCACTTTACCACCACTTTACTTTCTAAAACATTTCTGTGCTGCATTAAACAACAATCGTCACAAAAATGTTGCTTGCATAAAGAGCATGAATGTAAAGTTCTTGGATAGCTAATATTAGTCCGAGCAGTGTTTTGCAGTTTTGATATTTCATACAGGGGATTTTCAAACATTAACAGATTTCTTAGTTATTCTGCAGTCCTTCTGTGTAGCCAGCTGGATCTGCAACTGAAACCAAAACCATGTGCAAGGAGTTCATTTAGTTTGCAATAAGGCTGCATAATGTATCAATGATTTTTGCCATTGCAAAGTCAGTGTGTGCAAGATCAATACTGCAAAGAGCTGTTTGGAAATAACTGTTTTTCGGTTTTCCTACCTGGACTATACCTCTCCGGGCTCTATCTTTGATGTGAATCTAAACACTTAAAGTTTAAAGGCAAACTATGACGACCATGCTTTTTTTTCTTAACGGTTTTGTGACGTGTCAGTCTCCCTAGGTCAAGATGACTGAAGAGGTGATTGTCATCGCCAAGTTCGACTACATGGCCCAGCAGGACCAGGAGCTGGACATCAAGAAGAACGAGCGCCTCTGGCTGCTGGACGACTCCAAGTCCTGGTGGAGGGTCCGGAACGCCACCAACAAAACTGGCTTCGTCCCGTCCAACTACGTGGAGAGGAAAAACAGCGCTAGAAAAGCTTCGATTGTCAAGAACCTCAAAGACACACTCGGTAAGAGAATTTCCTTTTTGTTCCTTTGCTTTCGCTTCCGTTTATTTCTACAGTAGGTTGGCTCTCAGTAATCCTGAGAAAGCATGCTGGTTTGAATTCCCTACAAGCTTATTTATTTTTTCGACTAGCTCATAATATTTCAGCTAAGCCGCATAGATAATACTTTTGCAAATATTTACATATCTTCAGCATCTTGGTGGGGTTCCTCTCTCGCACGTAGATTTTCTTTTAATTATTAACTGAAGCAGCGCTGCTTCTATCTAGGCCAACTTTCATATTGTTTTGGACCACAACTGTGGCATATAACCTGTTGCACGTTTTTCACCACAGTGAGGGTGTTTGTTCAGAGTGCAGACATATTATTCTCAGGTTATTGTTTGCACGCACCTAAGAATTGGACTTCCACTTTTGATCGTCTTGCCTGACATTAAAGGCTTTAAGTGCAACTTTGAAGCATTTACTCAGGTAAGGGAGTTATAGATATTTTTATCTTTCCGGCTTTGTAACAAGTAAAAATCAGTGTTGGTTTTCTTGCACAGCTTTTTCTCAGAATACATACTTCGTAGACCTTCTATCCTGGCTGTTTTGTTTCCTTTAGCAAAAGAGTTAAATTTGTAGCTATTGCAAACCATGTAAGACCAGTATGGGCATAAATTTCAGTCATAAATATGTTGTACTTGTAAATCAAACTGCATAGTTGTGAGTTGAGTTTTATAACCTTGTAAAAAAATAAAATGGCTCTGAATTTCTGCTTTGTGCATGTGTAGATGTAGTTATTCTTTACCAACACAAATCTTAATTTTGGATCCACAGAGATGAAATTGTCTATTTGGTTTACAAGGTGACAATTTATGTACAACTACATCCTGATTTACAAGCACAACATTTGTATAGCCTGGATTAAAAAAAAAAAAAAGTTACCTGCACATTTATTGAAACAAAACATAAATTCTCAGCCATTTTATTTTGCAAAGTTACAAAACTAAACTCGCAAGTGTGCAGTTTGATTTTTAAAAGTAGAGAATATTTATAAGCTGAAGCTAAGCATGAATGAGAAAGTTATAGTTTGTCTTAACTGAGTTCTTCTTCTCTGCTATCTATTTTGAATCAGTGTCAGTCCTGGCATTAGATCTGCCAAGTATCATTATTTTTCATGTATTATTGTAGAATTTAATTTGAGTGGTTGGTGATTCTTTACACACTACCAACTCTGCAGCGGAGCTTTATCTGTCTTTTAATAATTAACTATTAAAACAAGACATTTTTTTTAAAACTTGTAAGCTAACAACAAAGTTGCCTACAAGTCCGTTACTCGTTGATGTGGCGTGAAGATGATGTGCTCCGAAGAAGCTATTGCCAGTCTATGCTAACGGTCATACTGTAGCTCCAAATTAGTTTTTTTTTTACATGAACAAATGATGAAAATATTAAAAAAGGAAAACAAAAGTGCGGTTTTGGGTGCTCCTCGTCATGCGTCATAATTTCACAATTATCACACATTCACCAGTGTTTGCAAAACACTTATCTGTTGGACTGCAGCTTCCCGTTTTCTCTTGTGTTTGTGTCTGAGTGTGTGCACAGCAGTTGTGGGTAGAGTGTGATAATATTTTTTGAAAAGTGTGGGTGAAAGAGGAATTGAAATGTCTTAAAATAATTCAGCTCAGTGACTTGAGCAAAGATTTAAGTCTGTCCTGCATGCGTTACTCAGAGGTATCTAGATTTATATGACATGATTTTTTTTTTGTCTCTGTGGTTTTTGTGTGTGTGTGTGTGTGTGTGCGTGTGTGTGTGTGTGTGTGAGTAAGAGGTTATGTTGCCATAAACAAAAGCCCATGGCCTCTGAACAACACCCCAGCTGTCACCATATTCGATCTTTCCATTTTTAAGAACAGCTGCCTGGCTGGCACAAACACAAGTCATGTCTAACTTAACCGTACACTCGAAATTAAACACAAACTTGCAGCAATCTTGTTAAAACGGTAACATAATCCTAAAAGGGGCTTTTGTTTTGTTTTCTAAAAGGTTTTCTCACCCCAATACAACCATAAACGTGAATGTATTTCATCGAGATTGTATCTAATGGAGCAACACATTATTATCCCATTAGTTCATAAGTCTGAATGTACGTTCATCTCTGAGTCACTGTTTTGTAGAGGCATTTTCCACCACAATTACAGATGCCTGTCTGTTGTGGTAATCCTCTACCTGCTTTGCACATCTTAGAGACTGAAAGTTTTGCCCCTACTTCTTTGCAAAGTATCTCAAACCCTGATAAACTGTCAACAGCAACATTCATTTTTGCTGTCATTCTATTAACCCCAGACTATTGGAGTGAACGACTAAGGCCCCATTTACATGACAATGCAAGAACAGCAAAACCTATATGTTTTGCTGCTGCTGTTGAGAAAATCGCAAAGGTTTGACAAGTGGCTCCAGAATGAAACTTTATATTGATGCAACACAGATCTTGTCCGTGTAAACGCAAGCACAAAACACTTGGGAGTCATGTTATCCTGCGGTTGTCCACTCGGGCTCGATTTGCTGCTGCACCGTTTCAGATTATTTGCAGTGTTAAAGCTAAACTTTACGCCAACAGCGAAGACGCACAGGTTACCTACTCCAGGTCATGCGTTCATCTCTGTACAATGAAAGGGGTTATGAAAACAGACCTCTGGCTCAGACCAGCCAGAAGTTGGTCTGAGAACGAAGGTTCAACGCCTCTTACTGGCCTGGCATACCCACTACATAGTTTCCACTGCTATTTGTGTTTTCATCTGCATGCAGAGTATTTTCACTTTGCTGTTGTGCATTTGCAGTTTTTGCAGATGCGTAACTGAAAACGTTTTTGGAAGCCTTGTCATGTAAAACGGTAAAACAGTTGCCTTGTAAACAAATACAAGGTAACTCTCTGCAGCTCCTCCAGAGTTCCCATGTGCCTTCTGGGTGCTTCTTTGATCGATGCTCGCCTTTCCCAACCTCTTAGTTTTGATGGGTAGCAGTCCCTTGGAAGGTTTACAGTTGCGATTGGTGGTTGTACATTATTTTATGTCGGGGTATCAAACTTTAAAAAGATGCCTAAAATGCACTCCACATTTTCAGGTATTTGGTTGTATCTTTTTTCTCTCCACTTCAAATAATAAACTACTTTGTTGGTGACACAACATCATCCTAAATAGTTACACTACAGTTTTTTTTTTTTGTAATACAGAAAGAAAATGTAAAAAGAAAAACACCAGGCATTGTGTAATCTCTGATTAAATATGCCTCTTTCCTAATCTGTGCTGTGGGCGGTTGGGTCACACGTGGGCGAGTAAGAGGAGCAACTCCAGGCTCACACTCTGATATGTTGTGTGGGAGGAAAAGTTGATCTTTTTGTTGCTGGGCGTGAAGTTGTGTCATCGCGTAAGAGGGCATGATGTGTCTGGAGACGGCTCTCTTACTGTTTGGGAGTGTTTCTGGGTTTAACGGCTTCTGTTCCCTTGGTTTGTTGTAAACTTATGAGTGTTTCTCAACAGCTGTTGTCATGTGAGACTTCACTGAGTCACTCTGCTGCTTCCCCAGAGATTCCTCTTTTTTTTTTTTCCTTTTTTTTAATTTATCAAAATCCTTTTCGTTTAAATCTGCTGTATATATGTTTAGAAAATCACCTTCTTACTTTTTATGCAGCATGGAGCTCTTGTGCTCTGTGTCTCAGCTTCACCCCCACCCTCTCCTTACTCCCCATTCTCTCCTACTTCTTGAGGCCTCTTGCAGTCTGCCTTCCAGAGCTGAACTGGAGGCCTTTCTAACCTGTGCCCTCATTGGCTAACCCCTGATCACATGGCCTGCAAGTGGGCTGCCCTTCTCTGCAGTCCGCCCAGCTCTCAGGGTGTTCACATGGAATAACTCCACAGCTGCAGTGGGAAGAGAACAGGGACTGCGAAGGAGACTGAGAGCGAGCCCAAAATGGACATGGCTAACCTATTCAAACATTTCTTTCGTGAGTTTTAAACTTTTCTCACCCTTAGTTGCTCCTTAAAGTTGTTTTGACTTGTTTTGTTTCCAGTTATCTGATTTTTATTTATTTATCCCTCTGAACTTCTCGGAGCAGTTTGGTTTCTTTGAACGACTCAGGAAAAAGATGTCGGGTCTTTTTTTTTTTTTTTTTTTGCTGTTTGTTTTTAAACTTAAAATATCAGATTTTTTTGCTTTGTCTGAATGTCTGTTTCAAGCTAACCAAATGAAAGTGTCGGGATCAGAGCGGGCAGCAACAGATTTTAGTGTGAAGCCATTTTGGTCTGACAAAGAGAGGCTGTCCCAGTGTGTGTGAGCGGCTGCAGACACTGGGTGGATATGCTTTTGAAAAGCCTGCTGCTGAGCCCAAGCCTGTAATTGCCCCGGCAATCCTTCTTTCTTTGAATTCACGCAGGCACAAAACTCACACACAGGCCGGGATCTTGCTTCATTGTTTTCTTCCAGCGTTTACCTCATTGAGGTGGGCTACATCTTAGTGGATTACACTGTCATTCTCTCCACACGGTTCAGGAGTATCTCACGACATCGCAGATGGCTGTTTTCTTTTATGTTTCCCTCAGGGCGAGCTCCCTGGTTCTGGGAGGGTCCCCCTGCCGCCGATCATGAGCTACAGTTGAAGGGTTCTCATGTAAGAACACTGTAGTCATTGTGCAAAGGGGAGGAAGGGGGTCCTTGATGATTGATGGGACTCGGGTTCCCATCTTATGCACCTCTCATGGTTATCAGAGGAATGTCAATGGTTTACAGCCACACTTGACACACTTTTCTTTAATATATATATATATATATATATATATATTTAACAAGGCCGTAATCTCACCTTGATATATCCTGGCTCTGTCTGCAGGAATCTCATTGACTGCTCTGCTTGTTCTCTAGCGGGAGGTGAAGAAGATAGAGATGAGCTAACAGACATTTTGCTTGTGTAAACTCTGTAAGCTGCTGCTTTCTCTCTCTCTCTCCCTCCTTCTGTTTCTCTCTGGCTC